ATGACCGTCACACGCCTTCAAACTACTTCTACCATGCAAAGTCTACACCGTTTGTCACAAAAATTTATGGAAAAAAGGCTAAACTTAAGTTTTTTTTTTAAATACTAAAATCCAGTTTCAATGCCGATTCATTTTCTCAGCTAATTGTGACCCTGGAGCACAAAAGCAGTGTTAAGTCGCCGGGGTATATTTGTAGCAATAGCCAACAATACATTGTATGGGTCAAAATTATACAATTTTCTTTTATGCCAAAAATCATTAGGATATTAAGTAAAGATCATGTTCCATGAAGATATTTTTTAAATTTCCTACCGTAAATATATCAAAACTTAATTTTTGATTAGTAATATGCATTGCTAAGAACTTCATTTGGACAACTTTAAAGATGATTTTCTCAATATTTAGATTTTTTTGCACCCTCAGATTCCAGATTTTCAAATAGTTGTATCTCAGCCAAATATTGTCCTATCCTAACAAACCATACATCAATGGAAAGCTTATTTATTCAGCTTTCAGATGATGCATACATCTCAATTTCGAAAAATTTACCCTTATGACTGGTTTTGTGGTCCAGGGATACAATTTTGGACCTGTGACTCAATCCAGATTAAAAACTACCCGTATCTCTTGTTTAATGGACAGAATCTGGCTCAAAATATACAGCAGCAGATAGGGCTGTGCAATTAATCGAAATACAGTTTCGATTTCGGCTTCCAACGATTATGAAAATCCAATAATCCGAGATAAAACGATTATTGTGCCCCATTCCTCCTCTTTCCAGCAGTGCACTTTCGTTCCTTCATTAAAGCCCAAACTTAAAGTGCACATCAGAACACAGACATGTAAACATTTTGCTTGAACTGCACGCCTAAACGGTCAAATACACGCAAAAAAATTGTCAAAATGTGGCGCTTTGTGATTATTCATGTAAACGCTCGTCAGTTATGTCTTAAGTGAACGTAAACATTATTCCACTTGCGTATATCAAACAACAAAAGACAGAGAAAATCACTCACTGCTCTTGACTGAAGGACTTTTGTAGCTTTAATAAGAAACAAAGCAAGTTTAATTCTTACAGTGAAGACTATTTTACATTTGATTATTCAATTTCTGTATGCTGTTAGCTGAATACTTTAGACTTGAATAAAAAAAAATGTAAAGCACTCCGTTTCATTTGTATATTTTTTGTATTGCTTTTTGACCTTTGCTTTTTTGTTTTTATTGTATTACTGACAGCTTCATTATTTTCAATAATTTTTTAAGACTTTTATCACTAATATAAAGTTTTGTTCATACGACCCACTAACAATCGTGATTACAATGTTGACCAAAATAATCATGATTATGATTTTTGCCATAATCGAGCAGCCCTAGTAGGAGAATTTTAAAAACTATTTGAAAAAAAATACAGATTAAAACAACCTGTGTTTAATGGCCAAACTCTGTCTCAAATTGTTTTGTAATTAATTAAATAATTAATTAATTGACAATTATTAAATTAAATTAAATTTAATTAAATTTAATTAAATTTAATTAAAT